TGTTTCAAGTGCTGAATTCAAAGCATGAGCAGAAATTTTAACTGGCATGGATTTTATCAAGAATTGATTCATCCAAAAGGTTATATTCATAATTATATGTCAATGTAATACTTTTGGTAATATCTAAATATGTTATAATCCCACATTTCATTTTATCATCTAAAGTTAATTTCAACAATTTCATATTTGTTTTGATTACTTGAGCTTCTCTGTCATTTTTTTTCTTCTCTATATGCTGATAATCAATTACTATTGTTGATATTTTATAAATACAACCAAATTACTATTAATATTAATTATAATCCACCAAACTTTTAAAATAACTTTTTTTTGATGGTGAAAAAAAAAATCATTGACCAAGTGTAGTAATTCGAATGATGTGTAATACTAATACAGATACTAATACATGTCAACTTTAATTTGAATAACAATTGATTCAAATGATTTGTTGATTTGTTTTATTCTGAATACTCAAAAATTAATCACGGATCATTTGACGAACAGGACATTATCTTGAATACTACTGTATGTGCTCATTTCACACAAATTACACAATGACAAATAGTTGCAGTAGACACACAAAGATGATAATAAAAAATAAAAAAAAAGTCAGCAAATTCCGAGAAAGTTTAGGAACCGACACTTCTTCATGCCGAGGTTATTTTGCAGTCATTTAATCATCCCTCTCACCTCAACCAGTTATTTAATCCCTCGATCCCTTAAACCAACTCATGAATATAACCCAGTACATCCTAACATAAGCGTTCAGTCATTTAATAATATTATTTAAGCAAAACATTTCTTGGAATAAATAAATTAAAGCTTTTGAAAAAGTATCAACGAAATAACTTTAAAACATGTCATATGTTCTCTTGAAGCGGCACTTAAAGCTAGGACTTCGAACAATCCAAAATGACTGGCCAAAGGAGAAATAGAAATAAAAATAAATGCCAACAAGAAAATCAACGCCTAAACTTGCCATTTAGCAATAGTAAATAATCGTTAGGACAATAGTGCGGTAGTTGGTGATTTTGTTCAGTGTAGGGTTTCTAGTAATCCATGTCAATCTTAATTTGAATTATTCATTTGGTATATACACAAACTATGATTTATTAAAGTCCAAAATTGGATAATGAATGACCCCCAAAACCGAGATAATGATTAATAAAACAAACACGGAAAAAATAATGTTATTTTTCAGAAAATGAAAAAAAAAATGATAGTGAATAATTAATGCTAGATAATGAAAGGTTTAATAGAGAAGTTGAAGTTAATGTACAGGAAGCTAACATTTTATTTTTTCAAGTTGTTGGACACGAAAAAAAATTTTTAAATTACACAAAAATGCTGTAGCTTAATTGCTGAAGGAAGAACATGAAAATCGAATTGGGATAAGATTAGCGCAGAGAAGCAAGGAAACCATCAAGACAAGAAATGAATTTTTAGAAAAAATTATTAGAGAAGTGATCACGTGTAGGACCTTGCACAACATTCATTGACAATATGCTAGAGTTGATATTTGCTAGTTATAGAGAGATCTTCCATCATTTGAAAATAGACATTTCACACAATATAATTGAAGTGACAAAGCAATTTGACCCTTTCCCCAATGGAAGTATTGTCATTAAAATCGGCAACTATTATGAGGTATCAAAGCACCAATATTTAGATATACGCTCAAGATGATATAACATAGCCGCCATCATCTATCTCTACAGAGAAAAAGCATAATACTTTTTTTTTTTTTTTTTGAGGACCCTTGGTCCAAATACAAGAATCAAGGGTGTAATCATCGGGTCAACAATAATATTCAGTATAATAATAAGAGGAGATAGATACATGTACATGAAGTTAAAAGATTATTGTAAATTTATTATCATCTAGATATATAGAATCAAAATTTTATTTATAATTATAATTTAATTGAGTATTAATTACATTTTTTTTTGGAATATCTATAAAAATAAAATCAGTAAAAGTGGAAAACTTGTGTTTTTGTTATTCAGTTTTACTACCAATGCAGTGAGTGTATACTGTGCAAGTTGGTTTACAGTAAATGGATGTGGCGGTCCTGCCTGACCTCCAGCCTGAGGCATCACCAACATGCATGTTAAAAAAATAAAGAAATTTATCCATAATAAATCTATTCAACCAACCAACCAACCGACCGACCGACCGACCAACCAATTAATATAACATGATTCTACTCATAGCTGCTAACAATAATAAAATCATCAATGTCATACTCGGTAGTATTGTCATCATAATCATTTTCATTGAAATTTTTTTTGTAATCTATTCTTATTTTAGCAGGCTTTTTGATAGACACTACAGGTTGAAGTATAGGTGATAAATTTGACCAAGCTTCTCCAAACCGCCGACCATTAATCGAAAAAGATAAAGATTTTCTAAACATATTTAAATGGATGGTAATCCTGTCATCTTTACCATATTTTGTGCCATATTTCCTTGATTTTCCATTATGATATAATAAACCATTTGAACCAAAAACCCAAGCATGTTTTGTATTTTTCAGACATTTTTCACAATTCTTGTTTGAATTATTATGATTGTTGTATTGATCAGAGTGGACACCTATCCATATATTGTTTTTACAATCTTCTTCTATCAAAATATCCCATTCATAAATATCATAACCACTCCCATGAAAACTTGTTAATTTTGATCTAGCAAATTCCAATTTATCACCAATGCTTGTAACCACTTTATTATTTTCTGACAATATAATATTTTTACCGTGAACCTTTTGATCCCATTCCAAGAGCAAATCTTTAGGTTTTGCGAATATTACTCCTCTGTTTCTTTTTGGAATGAAACCTGATGGTAGTTCAACTTGATATTTATAGGCATCGATTAAACGATGTTTTGGAATAATTTCTAATGGTTCAATAATATTTATTATAATTGAAGGATGAATTAATTTGAAATCTATTTTTAATAATAAAGGGTTTATCAGCATAAGAATTTTTTTGTTGATGTTTTCTGAAATATTATTTTTGAAATCTTGTTGTAATTTTTTTAATTCAACCAAATCTTGTAAATCCAGGTTTTCAGCATAATTTAAAATTGGTAAAAGCACTTCAAAATATTTCATGGAAAAATTTCCGTTTGTTTTTAATTGGCTCAAGGCCCAAAATACCACATATCTAAAAACGTCATATTCAGATGTATTGAATTCTTCATCTATTATGATTGCTGTTTTTTCCTTGTCATGATTTGTCAATATGAATACAAGTGATTCGTAATTAAACATATCATAATCTATAAAATTTAGTGGTATTCTGATTATTGCTTTATACAACAAGTTAAAATACCTTTCTCTGATCAACAATTCTGAATGATTGGAGGTTGTTGTATTGGAATGTTGAAATTCTTTAATTGATTTTGATAATATTCTCACTGGTAAATTATTATCTTTTCTAATCTTTAATAATCTCTCCAAATGTTTTAATATGATTTCTTCAATTTCATTTAATAAAAAAAATTTTGACGCAAAATAAATTTCTATAATAATTAAATAACTATTACTACTACTACTATTATCACTACAATTACTAATACGATTATTATTATTATCATCATTAATATTTAATAATTTATATTTATCCAAACTATCTAATTTAATATGACCCAAATACAAATATTCTAATATAAATAATATTGTTTTAAAACTGAATTGAGGAAATTTTAAGAATCTAATGTTGTGACTCTTGTCAAACACTTTGCCCAATTTCTCTTTTTCCCTCTCTTCCCTCTTCTCCTCTTCACTTAATATGATCAAGCGTTTAAATACGTTGGAGCGGGAAGATAGAATGGATTTATCCGCATATAAAATTATTCCATCCTTACATTTTATTGAGAGATCACTATAAAAAGGATTGTTTAACATTAATCTTTTATCGATTTTTGATTTGTTCCTATTATTATTATTATTATTAACCTTTTTTTTTAAAAGAGTTTCTTTATTATTATTTGGTTTTCTTTTACAATATGAAATGCAATGACCCATTATTATCTTTTTTTTTTTACTATCAAAAGAATTATTATCTTTAATTTAAAGTTGCTATTATATTCCAACAAATAAACAATTTAATAAGAGTCTGTATTATAAGCAATAAATTGAAAATCATTCATTATTTATTTTTTTAGTATAGTAATAGAAGAGACATGTGGCAAGAACACATTGTCACGTGTGTTAATGTATAAAATAGATTTATAGATGTTGAGATGTTTATCAAGTTGATCAAACAATTTCATAAAATAAACTTGTTTAAGGTATATATATACAATTGACGCTCGATATAGTCGTAATGAGCTATATAAGGAAACCATTTTATAATGAATTTGTACTATACGGAGAAGCTACTCCTCGCCATTATTCAATATCAAGCGCCGACTGTGTTCTGTTTATAACTAATTTATTCACGACATTTGACTCGTTGTTTATTCGTTCGCATTGCCCCAAGTATAAAAAATGAAGATAAGGTTTTCAGATAGAGGGCATTGCCTTAAAGGTAATAATAATAAATAATAATGGTGATGTTATTACTATACAACCGTCTACCATGTGTTCCATCTGGAGAAAATTGCACAAACGTAGAGAGTTATGGTTAGTTCCATCTCTTCAAAATTATTTAAATATCAACTTGCAAAACCTTTTGATCCCAAATATTCAAGCGAAGGGGCTATCAACAAGTGTTGAAATAATGACCCATAATCAAACAATTTTTTTTTGCTTTAACTAAAATTGGCGCCCTAAAACTAATCTACTTTTAAATAATAATAATAAATAAATACCTAATTAAGTAATATTAAGTAATAATATTAGATATGCACAACATTCTTTTTGAGTAATGAATTTTTTTCTTTATTGTTTGCAGTTGCAGATAGTTGCATCGAAATTTTTTGGGGTTAGCACCATCTTTTAACACACCAATACTAATTAATATTTTGAATCCATTCATTATTAAGCTACAAAAGTGACTGATTGGTGCAATGATTCTATTAGAATCCGACACCCAGCCAATAAAGCTCGGATTTAAATTAATACTTATTATTCGGGCGGTGCATTTTTATTTATTCATAATGCAGGTAAAAAATTAGTTTTACATAAAAATAAATCGTAATTGGTTTGCAATAATCGAACTTGAGGATTTATGCGATGTTATTAGTAATAATAATAATAATAATAATAATAATAATAATAATAATAACAACAACAACAACAATAATAGAATTACCAAATACAAAATTTTGAAGTTAAATTTTTTTACATAATGTTAAATGTTTGTAATTTGTTTTCTTTGTTCAATCTCTCGTTCCAACAATAAAACCTTTTTTTCTGTTTCTTCTCTATACTCATCGTATTCCAATTTATACCATAAAGTATGTAAGCTAAAGTATGTAATTGATCCAACAAGTAAACAATTTATTAATGGTGTTCCATAAACTTGCCAAACGCTCAAATCCTCTTCTTTTGACGCTGTTGCTTCTTTAATTTCATTTGGATTGGCTTTGATTTGGAGTTTGGAATCGGAGTTGGAGTTAGTTTTATTAGTCAATGTTGTATATTTTTTTCTAGTTTGTAATGACCGTGACCAAAAATTGATTGATAAAGATGATAAAACTGAACCATTATTGTTGTTATTATTATTATTATTATTATTATTAGTCCCAATGCTTCTTATTTTATTACTACTTTTGGTAATGGTGCTATTAATACATTTTAATGAATTATTTAATTGAAAAATTTTAGATTTGTTTTTTATTGTTGTCAACATTGTAAAAATAAAAAAAATATTTTGTCTGATTTCGATTATCAATAAATAATTCCAACCAATCAGAAATTGTATTTACATCAAAATCAATTTCTATGATTGGTGGTAGTAATGGATGATTGTTTTACAATAAATGATAATCCTGATAATGTTATCGATGATAACAACATTGATGACGTTTTTGTTATTGTTGAATAATTAAAGTAAAGACAACAACAACAAGAAGAACTGCAATGAAAATAAAAATCGACACTATGATCGATGAGCCGAAAAGTGTGTCCGTTGGTGGCGACGACTATGACGAATATAACGATGATGATACATCATCAATAACAATCAATCATAATCAAAGTCAATATCAATTTGATGACTGATGCTTATCTTGTTCCACAAGCTCCAAAACTTCCCAAGTAAAAGAAACAACGCGTAGATTGATGGTCGTACTAGAGAAAGCAATACTTGAAACTCGTCTAGTACCAAAATCTAGACTAATTAATTAGTTGGTGATGAACATCAAAAAACTTTTAGATGTTTTTTCCCTAATAAATATTAATTATGATTTTAGTGTTTGGAATAAAGCTGGTCTTGCGCGAATTTATATTCATGCTACGTACTTATCAAAGTAAATCCTCAAGTTAGGATTTCAATAACCTACTGACGTTTTTCTGGTTTAATGGGTTAGTAGGACAGATATTTATTATTACTGCTGAATAACTACTCTCCTTCCTACAAAATTGATTTCTATCTTTTCTTATTTTTATATGCAATTATCACAATATTACCAAAAATTACCATTAGATCATTTAATTTGTATGGTTGTTGGCAATATCCATAATTCTACTGCCGTAGCTTGTTCGAAATTTTTGCTGTGGATTAGAATCATCAATATGTAAATAAATTTCTACCTAATCGAAATGTCCAAAAAAATAAATTTTTTTTGTTTTACCTATTAGTATACACTATATATGAATGGGAGTCATCTGAGACAGTAACACAGCTACTGTATGCAAAATTAAGATGTGGAATTCTTTTTGGCTTAGAAATGTACTCATGTTTATATTAATGTATTAAACTGACTATTTCAGATGACATGATATTAATCTTACCATAGTATATCATGTATTCATGGAGTTCAATAATTAGATTCATTATTAACTAAATTGAAATTAATGGTATTTATTTATTATTTTATTATTTTTATTGTCATAAAATGAAAAAGATCAAACGCGTTCGAATTGTCTTTAGCTTTGAAACACACATAGCTTAGAACAAATTCTACGTAATACATAAGACAGGTAGGTTTAGATGCATGCTTTAATTTTGAAGTTTTAAAAGAAAATAAAATAATTCTAAAATTCTTTTATTATTGGATCAATAGAATTTACCAAGTCGATTTTAAATAATCTTCTAATAAAACAGTACGTACATAAACAACTCGAATTCCGTGTATTTTAAAGATAACTATTTTTGAACAAGGTTCGACTCGAGAAATAATCAAATCATACCCAAAACTATTCACTTGATACTCACAACCTACCATCCATTGTTTTATTGTCATTAATTAAATTCGCTCTCCCAAAAATTACAATATTGATAATTTATTAGTGTGATTAGCATGAAAATGTTGTACACACCCACCATGATTATAGTAATAGACATTCTTATGATCCATGTCTGTTCATTGCTAGAAATCTGTAAAGGTATTGTCAATACTAGCAACAACAACAACAACAACAGTATTAACAAAAGCTGATTAAATATAAAAGTTCATAAAATAAATAAATTAAAATTTCGTTTCTTTATTAATTACAAAATAATTATATGCAGTCTTTCTCTCTCTACTTTCTCTGTCATCATCACGACCAACTTTTAAAAAGTATCAGCCATTCTGGGATTAATTCACAAACTGATGTTGGTTACCCTCAAAAAACTAATGGTGTGAATCACTGTGCTCAACTCAATGGAATGACTCTTTAAAAGACTAGCTTTTGGGGTTATGGATTACAATCGGCTCTGCTAAACCCAACACCTAAAAATTTATGTAAATGATCTTCCCTTTTACCAGATGGAACATCAGAAATTAATCTTACGTAAACAAACCTACGCCGGGGTCCTATACTAATAAATATTAATATTAACTTTTTTGGGAGGATGTCGAAAAAAAAAATCCTTTTGCGTTCGACCGATAATACAAAAGAAAACATTGTCGAAAAGAAATACTTCCAAGCTAATCCATGTTTTACAGATATTTCCACCCTCTCAGAACAAGACAATTTCTTCAAGCCTCATCACAACTACATTAAAAAAAATTAAATATGTTAAATTATCAATTTCTTCATTTCCACATTCTGGTGTTCCTAATCGAAAATCAAATTTTTTACGAATATTCGAAAATCAATTTATTCAAGGATATTTGAATATATATAATTTTTTCGTAATTATTTCGGATACTCGTATACTTGTATTTATTTTGAAT